GGAATTGGGGGGGGGGGGGGTAAACATTCACAACAATCTGGAGATTAATGGCATAGCAGCGAGTTTGTATGTTTGCACCATAGTTCTAGACTACCAGATGAGAAACAAGATAAGTATGATCAAAATACAATCAACAAAATTCACCTTCCATTTTGGGGGATGCTATATCATTTAATCACTAAAAATTATTGACGCTTGTAAAATTGGCATAGGATTTTTGGGGCGTTAATTCTTGGCCCAGGGATATCTTATTTTTATATTTTGTCACTGCCTCGTCCCCAGTCACTCCCGATCACTTTTTGGGGGATATTGGAGTTAATTATTAAGGAAAGTGGGGACGAAAGGACCCAGATGCACTTTGCGCTATTTCCCATCATCCCCCTCTAGCGCTTCACGCTTGTCTTCAGCTCTCACACTTCTCACTTGTTCTGTGCTCCCCACTAAGCCATGGGAAGGCCTATAGAGGAGGCAGGTTTTCTTAGTCGTGATGCCCTAGGGATTTTTTTCTAGTTTTGACTTTTGCGCCCTTTTAATCATTCCCGTCACTTTAACTCTGGAGTACTCCCCTGGGATGCTGCATCACTTTGCAACTACAACTTTTGTACAATTTAAATTAATTTTTAAGAAGGGTCACCAGTGACCATGTTGCTTTCAACTTCAGTCAGATCTACAGCACAAGTTAGCGGAGATGGAGAGCATGCATCTCTTTTGCCTTTTCATTGACGTAGTTGATGTCAGGTCTCTTATCTGGATCAGAATTTATGCAGATACAGACCAAGTCACGCAACTGTTGGAAGAAAATCAGAGCTTCAAGCTACAATCTTTGACAACAATGTTATTCTGAGAAAAATGGACATTGCTATGTCTAGTTTCAAGATAAAGCTCTGGAAAGCACTGGTAACTACAAATCCCCCCCCCCCCCCCCCCCCCCCCCACAAAAACATTTAAAAACGCGCGGGCCCCCTTTCCCCCTTCCACACGAAAAAAACCACAGGGGGGGGGGAGGGGGGGGGGGGCGGGGGGGACAAAAAAAACAGAGGGACATACGTGGGGGAGAAAAGAGACAAAATTTTATGACTTTTCCACCCATATAATTGGTAAAGAATTGAGGCAAATAAAGCCAAAGTAAGCCACTGTTTGAAAAAAAACAAGACCTTCAACCAAAAACCTTTGAAACAAAGTTTATTCTGGGAAAAAGGGACATGCTAATGTTAATTTCAAAATAAAAGCCTGGAAAACCCCGGTAAACAAAAAACCCCCCCCCCCCCCACTTCCCCGTAAAACAATGTTGAAGTCTGGCTGGACCATTTCTGACCTTGACTGGACAACATTGACCAGGGTGGTGCTAGGTGAGGGGCCATAGTGGTATCAAATAATCAGGATGAGCATTCTGTGGGTAAGAAAGTGCAACATTTTTAACACTTTTCGTCCAAGATATTGTAGGTTTAGGCTGACACAATGTACCACAAAGATAACCCAAAAAATTAAAGAGTGATTGTTGCAAGCTCTCCTTTCTCTCCCCCGCCCCTTCTTTTGCATCCCTGCTGGTGTGCCTCTCGCACGTCTACTTTTCATGATGTCCCCCAATGAAGAGTTGCTTGCAGGCTAACCCCACAAACATTGAGGCAGCTATTGGAGGAAAAAGCTCTCGTGAATGATTTTGGTAGAACAGTTCCCAGTGCCAAGAAATACCGCTGCCAGTAAAATAGGTAATGGCATCATTTTGTCGCTATGACAACAGATGTCACTGTAACCCTGATCATAAAAATTTTTCATCTTGATCTAATACAGGCGTGGTGGTTATTTTTCCAAATCTTTGTTGATAGCGAGGTAGTTTATACTCAAACTTGGGTGGTATTGACCCTGAAAAACCCTATCAAGCCACCTTAATTAACTGTGACTGTCGGAGTTTGCCCCTTTCTCACGACCAAAAATGTTACAGATTGGTACTCGTTTAGAGGAGAGGGCAACCAGGTCATAGGCTCCAAAGAACTGGAGTTTAAAGAAACAGAACATTTCAATTTTATCCAAAGCAGTGCTCGGAAAAAAGGTCCCATCGGGCTCACTTGTCCAATAGTGAAGCAGGGCTCCAAAAAAGTGCCATCCAGTAAAAATTTTTTTTGCTGGGCAAGTAATTTTTAAAGCTTACTTGGCCAATGTACCAGGGTCAAGGCAAGTCATCCTCTGACAAAATCATTTATGAAAACTAGCAAGAAGTAGCCTCGGGCAAGGAAAATGTGAAAGCTTCTTGCCGGGCAAAGGACAAATGAAATTCCAGTTTTTTTCGAGCCCTAGGAAGGGTACATATACTAGGCAAGTCATCCTACGACTAATCATTAACTAAAACAAGTTAAGTATGTTGCCTGGGGCAAGCGAAATCCAAGAGTTGCTTGCCCAAAGGACACACTTATTTTTCTGCCACCTATTTCATGTAAAGTAGACCCCTTTCACCATGTCGATTCAACATGGCAAAAGAATAATTATAAAGTAGCTTGCATGACCATTGTTAACAAAACAAATATTATTGACAAGCATATATAAAATTATACCTCTTGAGAATAATGCTCAGCTGGTAGAGGTGGATAATCACAGTTTTCTATCTTCTTACATAATGAATAGAGATTCATTTTATCTCCATAGAAAGGTGATTGAAGTGCTGCCATCTGTTGACATGGGTACACAGACAATAAAAGTCATAAAATTAAACCCTTGTAACGACCATGCATCTACTACACTTTCACAGTAATAACAACAACAACTTTATAATGCACCTTCGCCATGTAAATATGATCAGGGAACCTGAACACTGTATTTCACTAGCTATTTCATAATGTGTAGTTCCAGAAAATATCCAGACCCCCACCACGGAAGGAATTTCACTTAGGACCCCCCCACCTCCCTGGATTTTCCTTTTTTGCAGGGAACTGATGACCCCCCACCCCCTCGGAATTTCCACAAGTGTGACAAAGACCCCTCAACCCCTCTGGAAAAGTTCATTTTCACGAAGAAAGACTATTAAAGTAGAAGAATGAGGCCAATTATGGTTAGTGCACAACGGTTTCCATCAGAAGCTTGTATGCTTCTGTTTCCATTTATTTGAGTGATATCGCAACATTAAAACACACTTCACCAACCACAAAGTAACCTGATCCGCAATTTATTTTTGCTTATCTCTTACTTTAAATGAAACAGAGAAAGTTAATAAGTCTGTTATATTTGTGAATTTACCTTAATCAGGGCAAGCTTACGATTTGTTATTCGTCTTCAAGGGCGTAATGTTGATAGAATTAATGCCATTTCGTGCGGGAATGCAGAACAAGTCAAACTTACGACCACAAAATTAATGCAAAACAAAGAGAAGAATAAAAACTCTGAATTCTGAAATGATAGCAATGAATACCCCCTGCATCTTGAAGGGAAACCAAGTTCAATTTACTGCTTTTCGATCGACTGATGCGACATGATGCGCGATGGCCGTATAAATGTTTGGTGAAATGGACACCATTTCAGCAAGAATTTGATCATGAACATGCCACACCTTCAACCACAAAATTAAGGGAAAATGAAAAGGAGAATAAAAACTCTACATTTTAAAATGGTTACAATGTATAGCTTGTGCTTCGTGAGGCAAAATTGCCACTCTACTTAACGATCGACTGACGCAAATGTGATGTGTTGCACGCATTGATGTTTTGAGGGAGACTGGTAACGAGTAATGGCGGCCGAAAACATGAGCATGCGATAAAACGAGTTGTAGTCGGTCTAATTCCTTTGAAATTACATCCAAAACGCTTTTGGAAGAAAGGAAACCTGGTTAAGATCAAAAGGAACAATCTTAAGTTATATATTTCAAGTTATTTATGTCCTAAAAATGATCTACCAGGTCGGTAAGACGCGATCTTCGAACTCAGGTTGAAAACGAAATGATATTGACCCCCTGGAAAGTGATTTTATGGTCCAACCCCCCTCCCTTCTGGAATTTCCGGGGCCTCTGGCCCCCCCCCCCACCCCCCTGGAATTTCCAATTCCCTCCGTGGTGGGGGTCTGGATATTTTCTGGAACCACACAATGCATTCCTATTTACTTATGTTCCACAGTCTTTATGAGTATTTCTGGAAGCAATTTGAATCAGATCAAAGATGGTTTACCTTGCCGGTTTCAAATGTTTCTTGTCTGGCATGTTGGGCATAGGATGCAGCAGTTACATCTCAAGTTTCCCATCGGGAAAGAAGAGAGGAGAGAAAATAGGCTCTCTCTATTCTCTTCTCTTGACTGTTAAATTACAGTCAAGCCAGGTCAAGCATTCCTCCCAAGATGCCATTAATGAATTTATTATTCGAAAGTTGAATCCGTCGGTAGTTGTAGATTTCAGATTCATCTCTGCATTCTTGCATGCGTAATGAGCCGTGAATTCACACGCGAGGCAGTTAGGATATTCCTATCAGCTCAGTTTCCCTGAATTTAATATGAATGTCTTCTAAGAAATTTAATCCATTCAAAGATTTTTTATCTTACCAGATACAGAGAAGTTCTTGTAAAATATTCACTGCTCATTACGCATGCAGGAATGCCGATTTGACTTTGACACTAGTTACAGGAACAACTAACGGATTCATTTTCCAAATAACCAATTCATTAATAGATCTTTGGGGGGTACGCTTGACCTACCTAGACTGTAAACCCCAATATTGTCTCCCACTTGGAGATTTAATAATAACAGAAACTTGAGACATAACTGTTGCATGCCAGACAAGACTTAACATTTGAAACCTGAGCAAGGTAAATCGTCTTCAAAACCCTTCCATAACGCAAGTTAAAAAAACTACTTATGATAATAGCTAATACAGTGTTCAGGTTTCCTGTGGTATTTTCAAAGGTCACAAAAATAAAGGAAATGAATAATTAGGGAAACGATTAATCAGCTTGCACCTCAACTGGACAGTAGCTTATGCAACAGAATGACCGAACGTTTGTGTGTGACAAACATGACCGTATAATATTACTTGCGTGACTTATCATGGTCTATTACAGAGTTCTGGTGTTTTACAAAAAGATCTGTATAAACATACAGTAAGTATCGTTTGCATTTGTAAGGTTTGCCATCTTTTTTTTCTGCCATCTAATTGTGTAAGTTCACTAATCTGGCATATTTTCAAAACAATCAGAAACAACATCAGCAAAATCTACTGGAAAAGGTAGACCTTTCATTATTATTAATAATTACCTCATATAAGAGACAGCCTAAAGACCATATATCCGACTTGAAATTGTATCCAGTTTCATGTATTCTCTCTGGTGACATGTAGTAAGGTGTACCAACTAAAGAAGGCAAAGTAAAAAAATCACTTTAATTCTGTTTATATCTAAAATATATCCTCTTAATATTCTACAATGTATATGTTGTGGTTCAATTTTACCCTTGGTTTAAATTTTATTTCCCTTATTACCATACCCCAAAACAATGGGAAATAAAATTTAAACCAAGCATAAAAGTGAGCCACAATATATTCACTGAACAGTGAAGATATGTTTGTAAAACAACGATGATTCACCACCTAGGGCAATTCTATGAAAAGAAATAAGCAAGGGATGAAAAATAATGAGAAATAAGCAAGGGGAGCAAGGGATGGTGCAGTGGTGGGAGCGCTCGCCTCCCACCAATGTGGCCCGGCTTCAAATCCCGGTGTCGACGCCATATCTGGGTTAAGTTTGTTGTTGGTTCTCTCCTTTACTCTGAGAGGTTATTCTCTGGGTACTCCAGTTTTCCCCTCTCCTCAAAAACTAACATTTTCAAATTCCAATTTGACCAGGAATCAGGTAGACGAAGAACCACTTTGTAGGTGTGCTACCTCCAAATCATTATTTATTTAATTTATTTATTTAATACATATGCCCAAAGGGCCAACCTCTCAATCATTAATTTTACAAGCTAAAATCCTTGGTGCAAAGGCAAGATTTCCTCTTAAAACCAGAAGGGAAAAAAAGCACCGTAAAAACTCGTGTATAAACAGCACCTTTTTGCCGAAATTTTGAGTCAAAAATCGCGGGTGCGGCTTATACACGAGACCATTGCTCTCAAAGGGAGTAAACTGGCTTGTAGGGGTCACAAATTGAATTGAAAACTTTCAGTAAATAAAGATTAAACATATTGAAACCTGTCGTTGATCATTGCTTTCAGTAGAAGTGGTGGCTCCTAAAAGAGCCGTTTGTTTGCATCTTCAGGTTCTATACCTGAATCTTGCTCGCCAGTAGTTCTTTTAAGCGTTTCATCTGCACTTTGTTTGAGCAGTTAAACTCTAACTGGCACGGAATCTCCATTCCTCCGCACAGCTGCTTACAGTATCGTCTGCAACCGATCACTTCAACGCTGATTTCCCCACTACGTGCAAGAAAATACCACGCTATTCGAGAGAATTCGCGAGGCAAATGGCCGACCGTTTCGTCGTCCTTCACTACTTTCACGGCGTGTTTGTCCATTGGGCTGTTAAACTCTCGTTTAGCAACAAGCTTTTCCCCGATCGATGGTTTCCACACGTCTTTATAAACATGATATCCACGCACAGCTGATGCGGAAGCGAACGTTTCCATGTTGTTTACTGATCGCGGTCTACTGTGTGATTCGGCCCAGGCTTTCTATAATGTTTTTTAGCCAATCAATCATTTCAACTGTGGGCTTTAGCAATGAAGAGAACTGTTGTCTTTCGCAGGAAATGGGGAAATTGATTAAAGAGAACCTTTTAAAAGGTATTTTCAGAGTTGATTAACTTATTTAAAATGTCACTGCAAATACACAACATTAAATTTCCTCAAGTTTATTTGTGAACATTTTGATGCGCGAACAAACGATCACCTTTTTTACAAAAGTGCATTTTTGGTTTGTTTTTTTTTTCAAAATCATGCTTGAAAGTTGGGGGTGCGGCTTATACACGAGTGCGGCTTATACACGAGTTTTTACGGTAATGTTTAGAGGGTGACTTGGGCCTGCTAGGGCACATTACAGCCCCATTTACAAACTCATAGGTTATCACTGAACTTAATTAAGGGTGATACACTGTAGATTTACCCATGTGGGTAAGAACAAATGGAAGAAATTAAGGGGAAATTATAGCAGCGGATGAACACTGGAGAGTTGAAAGAAAAGAACTAAGCGCCTGTTTATACGAGGTTGGCCAGCCCTGTTAGCTGGGCTGGCCAAGGGAGGTAGGGGAGGCAGGGTTAAAACTTCATTAGTAAAGAATTCTAGTAGCAGGGGAAAGGTGTAATGTTACAGCAGAATACTTTCAAAAAGGCTCCAAGTCTGAATAAAAAAATAGTCATAGACTACAGAAAATTAGCCGAGATTTCTGTATTGTAAACAGATAATTTTTGGAGCTCTGATGCCTAATAAACACCCTTGGAGTAATGTACGCTGTACTCTGTAGATTCAAAATGACTGTGAGGCTAAATGGAAAAACTTAAGCAACTACACTGTAACTTGTACAAAACATTACCAAGAGAATGAGCTGCTGTAGTTTTAGAACTAAAAAATCTGCCAAGTCCCAAGTCCCCAAGTTTGACTACACCAGATGCTGTTATGAACACATTTGCAGGCTTGATGTCTGAAAAATAAATATTATTAGTATTTACCAAATCAATGAATAGCAATTTTTGCACATTTTGATTGGCTCCTGTAACTTGGGATATCCTTGGCTATTTACTGTTTTGCCAAGATGTCATCTCATTTCAAGACATTTTTGGAAGACGGAATTTGAGCGATAAATGAAGCAGTCATACAAAAAATACCAGAAAAGCGACAATTTTTGGCTTGTCTGTGTTTACTGGTAGGTAGAAAATTAATTCTTTTCATGCTAAATTGGCAATAAAAGTCATAAAAATCACTTGACAAAATTCCCAAAATGTTTCTAAATTGTAAACAAAGTTCCTACCAAGTAACTTTTCTAGTTTACAAAAAGTTATTTAATTTCTTCATTTGTATCCAACTGATTGGTAAATACTAAAACAACTATCCCCCTCAGGGTCAGTGAACAGCGCTAGATATATACCTCAATGCTTCGCGTGTCGGCATATATCTACCACTATTCACCTCCCCTTCGATGGAAAGTTGTATAATACTACCAGCTGACATTTAACTTGGCAGTTTATAAAGTAACAAGACCCCCATCATGGGGGTACATTGAGCTGCTGCCCCATCAAACAGAAACATATTCACTTGGATAGATGAGCTTTAAGTGCAATACATATCAGACAAAACAAAACTACAACACATTTTGCTTTGTGTGCTTTAAGAAACAGAAAATTACTGTAGCTATATGACAAAATACAAAAAGTTGACGCTCTCATGTTTTAAAAGCAAAGAACAACAAATTTGGAAATTCCAGTTACATCAAATTAGTCCGTTATACTGTTATGTTACAGTATACCTTGGGGGCAGAGAGATTGGGGAAAGAGGATGCATCGGGAAATGCCCAAGTTAAAAATAATGCCTATCTTTTCTTGTTTCAAAAGGGTAACTTGCTTATTTACATTCATAATTGGTGGAATTGATGGTACCATTCTTCCTTTTTATATCTGAAATGACCAGTTCAAAAGTTAAATCATTGTCCTCAGAGCAAGGGGACAGGCAATGCCTTCTGGGCCACACGTCGGCCATTTTGTATTTTTTGGTCAGAGACAACTTGCCACGAAAAACTTGATTAGCTGTACCTCAGGCAGCCCTATAACTAAGTGTTTTAGTGTAAAATCCAAATAAACCCTCACCTCTGTGCATAACTCGTCGTGAATGCATGTGTGCTAGAGCAGCAGTAAGTTGTACAAAATATTTCCTGCAAAAAAAACACTTCTTTTTTCACTCTTTTTTTTTTTTACCAAGTGAATTTAAGTCCTACTTTATAGATTTTTTTTCACCCCAATGATCAGTTTCTGTTGGCTTCTAATGCAAACTGAAGTTTTAGCTTTAACCTCTCATACATGTAAGCTTACTAAAGTGTTAAGTCCCCTCGAGCTCACCACTTCTCTTTTTCTTTTCTTATCTTATATTTTTTGGTATTTCTATTATATTTATGGTGTAGCAAGTAAATAAACTTATAAATAAAAAGTTATTGAAAAAAGTTATTAAAAGGGTAAAATGATTATAACTTTTTTAATAAACATATCTACAGACCACCATTATGCCTACCAAACAGTTCTCTCTGGAATTAATCTGTTCTGTTTCTTAAAATGCTGTTGGAACAAAAAAATATATTATTAACAAACAACCCTCTGGCAGCAATTAACTTATTAATACCAGCGGAGAGACAATGCTCAGCTGAGCTATAAGACAAAACAGAAAAATTTCAAAAGGGATTTACATGTAGATTTTCATCTAAGTCTTGCAGCTACAACAGTCAACCTTCACCTTGTAATGCATCGGTCAATTCCAGCTGCGCCCAGCCCCCTGCGGCTGACCTCCGCGCATTAACATTAATTGTTTGCCTTGGATGGCAAATTCCCGGGGGTGGGGACTCTTGAGCTGTCGAATTCCCCAGGATGGAGATGAAAAAAGAGGGCAAATGCCTGTCCTCCATCAATACTGCAACATTTTTTATTGATCGCACAGTCAAGTAGTGTTATTTTAAGCATTTTTTTTTTTTGGGGGGGGGGGGGAAGCTGGAATTGACTGATGCATAAACATCTCGCTATTATGGAAACCCCAATAACATGGACAGTGATAAATCCCTACCAATATTAATAGAAACTTAGTCTGTAAAATACAGCCATCTCTCCTTGCTGCTATAGAGACATTTTAAGAGAGGTCTGCAATATTCAGCACTCAACGTTCCATAGTGATTGCATTGCTCTTATAATGTAATAAAAAAATAGCATACCTTTATCATTCTGGATAAATCACCTGCATCAGCCAACTCTAATATAATGTTAAGCTGTTAGAAGAAAAAAAAAAGAAAAGAATTGATTACTATTATAATGTTCACTACAGCAACTCAGGGCTGTCATTAAGGGCTGGGGGGCGGGGATTTCCTCCGGCTACTATGAATGTGGCCCCCGGCTACTTTCAAAGGAAAAGAGAAGAAAAACAGAACCAAAAGAAATCCCTAGCTGTTTGATTCCCTGCCTACTTGTTGCATTTACCCGGCAACTTGAAATCTTAGTGACATCCCTGCAAGTGTAAAATTAACAATCGGAAATCTAAGTTTTACTTGAATTTCAAAAGTATTGATTTATATCTCTATATACAGTAGCCCACCTCATTATTTTCAATAAAAGATGCCAAATACTTGATCACATTGGGATGATTGAGTTGCTGAAGAAACAAAACAAAAGGAATATTATTTAACAATAATTATTCCTTGAGCCCGAATGGGCTCTGAGTCAATACCCCATGAGGCCGAAGACCAAGTGGGCTATTGACTCAGAGGCCATGAGGGCAAGAGGAATAATTTTTTTGGTAAATTCTAACTAGTTGGTCAAAAATATTGAGAATAAAAAAAATTTTAGCTAGTTAAAAGCTAGACTTTAATCCTTTTTTGCCGCAAAAAAGCCCGCGCTTTTCGCTACATGGGGGTTAGTAGTAGCTCAACCAATCAGAACGCAGCATTGATAGTAGACCACTAGTTGGATTTTAGCTAAATACTAAATACCATAAATTGCATAAAATTCTGAAAATAAGCCCCTCCATGTATAAGCCCCTCCAAATATAAGCCCCCCAAACCGGTAACGCAAAAAACCCTCCGTTAAATCGCCCCTCCAAATATAAGCCCACCGGGAGCTCGTACTTGGAAAATTGCCCTCAAATACAAAGTAAAACAAAGCAAAAAACTGTAAGGCTAACCCTATCAATTTTGAAACCCAAATTTCCCTCCTTAGATAAGCCCCTCCAAATATAAGCCCCTCCGAATATACGCCCCTACAAAAATAAGCCCCTCAAAAAGGGCCTTTGAAAAATATACGCTCCAGGGCTTATTTTCAGAATTTTACGGTAGCCTTAGCCAGGCCATCAGTGAAGCTCTCGAATTCAACTTTGGCCATAAGAAAGAAAAAATGGTCCTGAGCCTGCCAAAAAAGGAATTTGAGCCTGCAATTAACTGAAAAACAATAACTGGTCAGCTGAGAACTTAAAAAACATCACTTCAACGAGTTGAATGCCTGAACCTGTGATACAGTCATGTGACACTGGTCAACGGGTACCCTGTTGATTGACCATAACACAGATTTCTAATATCGAGTTAAAACAGGTTGCATATACCCTGGACACCAAGCAAGTAAATGTAACATTTCACATCCTCTAACATGAACAGGTAGGCATACGAATGGACAATTTTGACACTAAACTTGTTGGATGCATATCTTTGATTCAGACTTCAGCTCTCTTGGGAATTTGTCACTGAAATTCAGGCTACTATTACACTACAAGCACAAACAACATTAATGATATAAATTTCTTGGAAACTGTTCATGGCGCACCTTAAGTAAATCAATTTCTTTTAAGCAATCTTGTCTGGCTTTATGATCCATCATTTCAAAAATCTAGGACAGGAAGGATAAATCAACATGAAGAACGTGAAAAATGTAGTATAATCGTAAGATTGACAGGTGGCACTGTTAATGCCTGTTTTAAAATAATTTGCACAACGAGTGACCACATGCAGTATACACAGACACTAAATTCAGTAATCATGCAAGTATTGGTAACTGTCAAATTAGCCACAACAGGACAAAGTACTACACTATTGAATCAATTAACACATCCGATATTTCAGTGACCAATAAAATCATCAGCTTATCATTTTGTAAAATTGCAGAGCAAAAAAATTATTTATAGAAAAAAAAACACACTGTAATCTTCTCGCTCATAAAGCATGCAAATGTTGAAGAGATGTTTCCAATTTTTTTAGGCAAACACAAATGACACCTGCCGCTGTAACTATATTTAGGCCCTTGAGGTTGCTTTATGAGATCTCACTTCACACCAAGATGTTTAATTATGTTCGAGAAAATTTTTTTAAAAACCTTTTGCAAAAAAATTTTTCTATTCCCGGGCGCATTTAAAGCTTAAGACATATTTAAAACTTGCAGAACGCCGACCGTTTGAGACCAATTTTTTTATTTCTTTCTACTAGTTTGGAAGATGTAAAATAACTGAATATTTGAGCAAAGTCAACTGGACTGTGAAAATACATTTTCTGAAAATTCTTGCGTAACTAGAGTAACATCAAGGAGGAAAATTCGAACCCGCCATGAGCTGTATTTAGAAGAAAGCATTAAATAGTTATTGATCATCAAGACTAAAATTTACCTGGACTTTTTTCAATGCCACTATTGAATTATCCGCAACACAACGAGCCTTGTAAACCACACTAAACTGTCCGCGACCAATTTTCTTTTCGATTTCGAAGTTTGTCAGGGTTCCATATGGCCCACTGTTTGATTCATCCATTGCAGCCATTTTATTTAGTTTTCGTTTTATACACTCGCTTCCCTGTCAAGAGATTTATAGTCTTTTCACTTCTCCGTTGCCTGTGAGTAAGAAGAAGTCGTCCTTTAATTTCCAAACAATGGCTACCCTCAAAAGTATAGCCCTACGGAGAAAACGGAAGACTTCACTCAGTCATTGTTATAAGCTTACCGACATGTTTGACGCACTGTCAAAACATGGCTGACACCCTTTCTTAGGGTCACTTCGATGAGATATTTTAATGTAAAATCTCGTTAGTAAGACTGATAACTTCTTAATAAAACCATACCTAATCACTTCTGCATAAATTTGCATCTGTGTAGCTTGCATGCACCTCACTCGCAGCAAAAAATAAGCTTAACTTCTCGTGAAGACAAACACTTGGAATTATGGAAGGCAGCTAGTCGCGACAACCAAAAGCTATAGCTTGTAAGGAGCTTAACGGCATGGTATATATATAAAGCTAAGGCTTACAACGTCTAGCAGTCGTTCCTCGACAAACATGAGCGTCCAAAGCAATTTTTACTGCTCAAGACCACTTTACGAAAATTCGATCCACATTAAAAAATGGTATCGAAACATCAAGAGGCATAAGCTTATTTCACAATCAGTATAATAAATTCAGCACACGATAACCTTCGAATCAACGATTCCTGATTAATCGTTAAGAAAACAATGCGAAAGCGACGCATATCTTGGGTGACACAAAGCGATTTGTTTACAAAATTATAAACTAACCCAATCGCAAACTAAAAGCCAATAAACGAAAGTGTTTTAAAGTTTTTTCGGGATGCCCTGACTTACCAAAATTCTGCCACTGCTACGAACTCAGCATTTCTACCTGAAATCTAAAATTTACTGAAGGTAAAGGCAGTGGACGAAGAAGAAAGAACGACGGCACCGGATACTTCTGCAAATGTAACTTTGAAGGAAGGAAGTCCATGATTCAATTCGCGGGGAGTCCGCTAATCAAAGGCATCGCGGATCGCGCATCTGATCGCGCACTGGGCTGCCTACGGCGGACTCAGTTTATAAAAGTTTTTTTCTCCCGGCGGGGAGGGGGCGATATTCCTGGGAATTCGTGGTGGGGACAGTGCCGTCCAGCTCTCCAAATCCTGACCGTATTTCAGACCAATACCTATAAGGCAAATGTAAGGGAATATAAGGCCCCCGAGGAATTTCTTAATCAAAAATTATTAACTTTACCCAGAGGGCGTGGTCTGATCCATGAAGCATGTTTGTCCATCTTCGAAGAGTCCGTTTGTTTCTGTTACATGCACCACACGCTTTTTTGGAGGTCTAAAATTCGGATTACGACAAGAACAGGAATTTTGAGAAGTTCATATCATAGCCCCTTGGCAAGAGCGCAAACAAGCGGCAAAGCTTCACCGGGAACTTCAAATACCAGACCTACTAGTACAAGGTTTGGTGACTCAGCATCCTAAAGTTTACAATTGTTTTCAATTTGGCCGAGAGGTTTTGCTTTTGTTTGTTTCTGTATCATTAAATTTGTGCGTGATCGCCAATTCAAAGCACGATTGATGTTAGCATTCCACTGTAGCATTAGCGAGTTTCGATAAACCTTGAAAGTTCACAGCTCGCATTAACATGCATACATTTTTAGGTACACAAGCCGTATTTTACAGGAAGTGTTCTGTATACATGCTGTAAATGTCAGGTCTGAAATGTCACATGTTAAGAACGTCTGCGGGGGAGGCCACCACCCCCTAAGCCGTGCGGGGCGCGGGAGAGAGAGACGTCTAAAATGCCGTCCGGTGACGTCACCTAGTAATTTATACATTTTTGCATAAATTTCGATTTCTTACAAATTCACAGCCATGAGTCACGCAATAGTGAACATCAGCATGCATATGGTACCGTCGATATGAAGTTTTCCGTGTTTTGAATTCCGTGAAACTTGAATATGAAGTCTCCAGAATAAATGTACTGGGTCGTTTAACTTTGAAATGAGTTTGAAATGAATTGTTGGCAGGCTAAACACGACTCATAATTAAGGGACCGATCGTTTATTACGTCCCAAGGTGGGGGGAGGGGGCGAGGGTTTTCAGAAAAGTGTGGTGTATCAAAACATTACCCCCCGCCCAAGATAATTACAGATGAAAATTGTAGCCCCCTTGGCAATAATAATTTTTCAAATGCAACCCCCCCCCCTCTCCAATCTCTTCTCGACCAAGTCCGTTTTTCTCTTCTTCCATCCTTGGACATTGATTTCATAGCGTGAGATAAAGGAAAATGCAGTAATAAGTTGTTTATTTTTCCATCTTTAGTGTTATCGTTAAGGTACAGTGTTAACGGAAAAAAGGGTAAAACAGTGACGCCATCAAGAAGGTTACAAGCAAAGGGAGAGATGTGTATCCTTTAAACAGGTAAACTCTGTTATAATGCCATCAATATCAAGTACGTTTTTTAGCTCATATGCAGAATTGCAAGAGAACTCAATCTCTAGTCTGTCATGGTCCTTCGTAAAGGAGTTTGCAGTCTCTTCATACCGCTTAAGCTGGTGGTCAACTGTGCATGTTGACACAGGATAAGTCAACAAAGTTATGGGAATTACATATACTGGGGGATAGAATTGGAGTTGGCTTGGTCAAATGTCTCAACCAAGGTCTGTGGCTTCACTCGAATCCATTTCACTTTGCTTAATCAGTTAAAGGAGAAAGGAAATCCTAACACAAAAACACCAATATACTGTGAAATATTTATCCAGATAGAAAAAAATTCTATACATGTTTCGCAGATTTCAGCTGTATGCATAGGCGTACCCTAGTAAAGGCACGTTACACAGAGCGTTATTATACCTGGTTTCCATATGATCGTTCCGATCGCCCCACTCAGTCGTTTAAAAAAAATTCGAGACGATCCGGACGACTGGTACGATCGGTAGTTGTAGATTATCGTAGCTTGTTCTTGGCGTTCGGATAGTGGAGTGCGGTGCGTAGGAAGAGAGCGAGAACAAAATGGGGAGGAAAAGAGGGAGAGGGAGAAAGGAGGTTTTTCGCTTTCACCCCTACCCCACTCCCTCGTTGTTTTTTTTTTCCTGCTCACATCTCTCAGTGTGCTGTCTCCACGATCTGAACGTCTGGAACAAACTAAGATTATCGTCTATATTTCATCATCTCTACCCCCTGTGTTGATGGGTTTTATAGTGGGTAAGGTACAGTTTTATTGTACCCTCTGCCTTCCTTCAGAACAAAAACGCCATGGCAGCCTAGTTAATTTCGCCTTTCGGCGAGTCTAGTTATTCATAAACCAGGTTTATACGGGAAACTTATAGGAAGCAAAACTCCGCAAGTCACGAAGTTCCGAGAGAAATAAACACTGTTAAAAATTGAACCCAACATCTACCATTAGGTCGTTCTGAATTCTTTTTTTTTTCTCAAATCGCTCACTAAAAAGGCTCGATTGCATCAACCAGGGGGTCAACAGTAATAACTTAACAAATTTCATAAAATATTACTAAATCAAGTGTAACGCTACAATTTAATAATAAAAAAAAGAAATAAATCCTGTTTATAGGAAAAGAGCAAATTTTGAAAAACATGGCTGTGCAAACTCGGTTGCCATGGCAACGTCAATGCTGACATACACGTCATGGTGACTTCGAAATGTTTCCAGATGAATTTGTAGGAAAAGCCGCTAAGTTTGGTGGTCATAGCTTAAATAGATTCGACGTTATTCAATTTTTTTCGAGACGGGAGCTCCAAACGCTACCCCTTGGTCTGAATACGGTTAAAGGGGCACTTAATCGCGACAGGATTAGCTCAGTCGGTAGAGCGCTTGATTGCGGAGCGGGAGGTCGCGGGTTCGATTCCCGGGACTGGACCAATACTCAGGGTCTTAAAATAGTTGAAGAATGAAGGTGCTTCTTTTGCCCTGCAAAAGGCTGGAACTTTGAGTGGCTCGGATGGATACTTAAAATGGCGGTCCCGTCTCCACAAAGAGACGTAAAAATACTTCCGAGTTTCAAAAACCATGGCTTTCAAAATGAGGCCAAGTGCACAACCTTTCTTGTGAAAATTAGTTAATTTGCATGAGAATGAAAAATCATTTCCATATCAAAGGCTGAGCACTTAACCTCGTTTTAATACAGAGGCCCAGGGGAACTCGGAAGAGGAAAGGCTGATTTTACAGTCGGGAATATATATATATATATTTTTACCAATACTCCGGAAGGCGGGCCCAGCCTTGCTTCTTTTGTTTTATACTTTCACTTATTGCTTAGATCCTTTATAAGGATCCGTCCTCCTTTTTGTAAGCTGGTCCTTGCTACAAAATTGAAATAGGAAATTGCCTATTAATACGTGTGTGCTAAATACATTGACACTCAACTAAAGTGCATTTTAAAATAAGATAAACCATCCCGTGGTAATCTTCTCACACAGTGACAATTGTCTCTTGTTTTTCTATTTCAATTGCTTGCCCTTCCCAATGACTCCCCCACCCCCTCCTCCCAAAGCCTAATCTCATTTTTCAGCGTAAGACAGAGTGAGATCTGGGTACGAGATTACCCAAAGCCCTTTTAAACACAATGCCTTTCCCTCCAAAATATCTTCTACGATTAGCTCGCTTACACTTTCCACTGGCTTTAGTGCGGTGAGGGTGATAACATTTTTAAAATCCCCCGGAGTTTTGGGTTATGAAATTTTTCTTTGAAAAGCTTTTGCCCGCAGGTGACCTATGATGACAAATTCCCCACCATGCGAACTAAGGGACCGGTCATTATTTATCGCCTGGGGGGGGAGGTCGGAGGATTTGGAGCTAAACACGATGTACCCTTGGTTTCCTTTATTGCACTATATTTGCCCCGAGAAAATTTGATGTAAATCTTATTTTTCGTTAAATGTATAGTAAGAAAAGAAAGAGGATTTGCTCGCGATTCTGTGAAACGTTACCGTTTTTGGTATGCGGTCAACACAAAGTGACAGTATCTAACGTATGTGTTGTAGCTAAAAGCGTCCGTATTTTAGAGGTTAGGTCTCAATAGTATTACTTTGTTAAAAACCTAATCTCTTTTGTAGGCCGTTAGAGAGGAGTACATCTTAATTTTAAATCTGTACGTACTGGATAATAATGAACCAAAAGAAAGCATCTTTCCTTTGAAAGGAAAAACACCTTAATTTAAAACTTAAAGAAAACAAACGCATTCCACCTTTTAATTTTTATCATTTTAATTTTAAACTAAAAGCAGGCCGCAAAAATACACTCCACCTTTTTCTCAAACAAAATTGTTTGTTAGTTCTTTTTTAGCTTAACCTTATCTAACACACTCGCTTCAAGACCATTTTCCTCGTCACAAAGTCGCGTTTGATCGATCACTTCTTTCCCCAACCGCGGAACCTTGGACGTGGAATTCTGGGGAACCTCGGACGTGGGATTCTGGGAAACCTTGGACGTGGGATTCTGGGAAACCTTGGACGTGGAAATCTCGGGAACCTTGGACGTGGAATTCTGGGGAACCTCGGACGTGGGATTCTGGGAAACCTTGGACGTGGGATTCTGGGAAACCTTGGACGTGGAAATCTCGGGAACCTTGGACGTGGAAATCTCGGGAACCTTGGACGTGGAATTCTCGGGATTCTTGGGCGCCACGCCTTTGCGTCCTGCTGACGATCTATATCCCTGAGGAAGATTAAGCAGAAGGCAAAAGAATAAGTAAAACGCGAAGAAATTATTCAGCTCCTAGAACAGTTTAATCAGTTATTTACAATGTATTGTTTTCTTTCTTTTCTCTCTTCTTTTGTATCAGTTTTGAGCAGATGAAACAACTGCTGCTTTCGAAAATGTCCGTCAGTTGCATGTTTGAGGTAGAAAAATGCCAGTTGGCAGTATGAGTTTAGCCATTTGTCAATTTTAGTAAAACTAAGAAAACCATGAACACCAGCAATGTTTCTGATGATTATTTGTGTTTCATCAACAAGGAAAGGAACAAGGGAAGACATGATCAAAGCCATGATCAGAGTAAACTGCAAGAAGCAATGTTCATTAGTTTGGAGTTTTGTGGTTTGTTCGCGCGTCCCACACGTGTCTGGCGTGTCCTGATATCTCCTGTGACTGGTCATCAGGCAAGAAACATTTTTGAAATTATTATGTTTGTCTCACGATTGTCACTTAGATATTGATCGCGACGTTTCGACCGCGTAGTGACATGAAGGTCTCGGCATCAGAGGCGATCATGCAATAGTGTCGAATGACTGAGCAGAACTCGAAACTATTTGTACCACCATGGTTGTTAGAGATTGGTGTATCATGAGCCTAGCTCATAGTTGGTTATAACGTTTCAGTTGTTCGCGGTTTTCTTAGTTTGACAGTAGTTGACTGTTGATAAAAACTTACTATACAGCTTAAATCATTTCTTGTTGTCTTAAATTTAGCTAAATAGACTTAAAACTCTTCCTCAGTAGAAAATAAATAAGCTACAGGAAGGAGAATTTCGAGTGTTTCGCCGTACTCATCAATTTCAGAGCCCCTCTAAGGTACGCGAGCAGAAAAGTAGTAGCTTAAACGAGCAAAAAACTGACCAAAACTGAATGCAGGGCTGGCTCTACGGCAAAGAGCTGATTTATTATAGGCTAATATTTTGGGTAACAAAATTGGCCTTCCTCAGGGCCAGAACTATACCGAGAGAAAATATCTTTTTTTTTTTAACCTGCAAGGTGCTGGTTAATTAAAATTGACATGCGCCATTTATAGTTCTTTGTAAAACTCGTTACAGCAGATTATTCACGATAGCCGCCGTCTTTGGATGCCCTTTAGAATTAATACACGGGATAAAAGCTTTGTCAAGAGGTATTTCGAGGGGAAACGTACAAGTGAAAAACTGAAAAAAATTGGCAATACGAGTAATTAAGGCCGAGTTTGTTTATTCTCTCAAAACAACTCTTTGTCTTGCAAAATGTACAGTTCGAGTTTCGACAAGATTAACGTCAGTAATGCTTACCGTGAACACATCTAAAGTCGCTACTNCTTGGGCGCCACGCCTTTGCGTCCTGCTGACGATCTATATCCCTGAGGAAGATTAAGCAGAAGGCAAAAGAATAAGTAAAACGCGAAGAAATTATTCAGCTCCTAGAACAGTTTAATCAGTTATTTACAATGTATTGTTTTCTTTCTTTTCTCTCTTCTTTTGTATCAGTTTTGAGCAGATGAAACAACTGCTGCTTTCGAAAATGTCCGTCAGTTGCATGTTTGAGGTAGAAAAATGCCAGTTGGCAGTATGAGTTTAGCCATTTGTCAATTTTAGTAAAACTAAGAAAACCATGAACACCAGCAATGTTTCTGATGATTATTTGTGTTTCATCAACAAGGAAAGGAACAAGGGAAGACATGATCAAAGCCATGATCAGAGTAAACTGCAAGCAGCAATGTTCATTAGTTTGGAGTTTTGTGGTTTGTTCGCGCGTCCCACACGTGTCTGGCGTGTCCTGATATCTCCTGTGACTGGTCATCAGGCAAGAAACATTTTTGAAATTATTATGTTTGTCTCACGATTGTCACTTAGATATTGATCGCGACGTTTCGACCGCGTAGTGACATGAAGGTCTCGGCATCAGAGGCGATCATGCAATAGTGTCGAATGACTGAGCAGAACTCGAAACTATTTGTACCACCATGGTTGTTAGAGATTGGTGTATCATGAGCCTAGCTCATAGTTGGTTATAACGTTTCAGTTGTTCGCGGTTTTCTTAGTTTGACAGTAGTTGACTGTTGATAAAAACTTACTATACAGCTTAAATCATTTCTTGTTGTCTTAAATTTAGCTAAATAGACTTAAAACTCTTCCTCAGTAGAAAATAAATAAGCTACAGGAAGGAGAATTTCGAGTGTTTCGCCGTACTCATCAATTTCAGAGCCCCTCTAAGGTACGCGAGCAGAAAAGTAGTAGCTTAAACGAGCAAAAAACTGACCAAAACTGAAAGCAGGGCTGGCACTACGGCAAAGAGCTGATTTATTATAGGCTAATATTTTGGGTAACAAAATTGGCCTTCCTCAGGGCCAGAACTATAGCGAGAGAAAATATCTTTTTTTTTAACCTGCAAGGTGCTGGTTAATTAAAATTGACATGCGCCATTTATAGTTCTTTGTAAAACTCGTTACAGCAGATTATTCACGATAGCCGCCGTCTTTGGATGCCCTTTAGAACTGATACACGAGATAAAAGCTTTTCCAAGAGGTATTTCGAGGGGAAACGTACAAGTGAAATACTGAAAAAAATTGGCAATACGAGTAACTAAGGCCGAGTTTGTTTATTCTCTCAAAACAACTCTTCGTCTTGCAAAATGTACAGTTCGAGTTTCGACAAGATTAACGTCAGTAATGCTTGCCGTGAAGACATCTAATTAAGTCGCTACTGCATCCAGAAAAGAATTGCAATCATCACTTCCACTCAACATCGTTCCAGGGCTTTTCCGTCAGAAAAAAGGGAAAAGGCCTGGATATGAGGTTGACTTCCACTTGTAATTTGCCGTTATCGTAATCAAGGTAAAAGTAAGTTCTTCAATTTGTATTGTCTAGAATACTAGTCTCCCTCGCAGCCGTTTTTTGAGATATCATGCACTAAGACCTGACCGCGATTTCTTTTATTATTGGCAGATTTTATCTTTTGTTGTCCCCTGAGGAACCACATGACATTGCCTTTTTCCTACCACGCGTTAAGCACGTGCAAAGATGGCAGTTATCGCGAATAAGGTCTATTCGAAATACGTAAAGATAGGAATTCATTTTGGCCAGGTTACTTAAAACGGAATTGCGCATGTCATTTAATTCCCCTAGTCTTCTTGCTGAAATTTACTGGGTCGTGAAAGCCTCCTTCATACTCAACGGAGTTCCGTTAGAACAATTTAAATCAGTTATAACAAATTTTATTTCGTGAAATAACAAAAACATAAATAGAACCATTTGGAACTTCTAAAGAAATTTCATTTACATGCCGCATCGGGAGTTTTATGCACAAAGATTCAAAGATAAAACTTCGGCCTATCAACGTGCTGAGAACGAAAAAGGCTAAAAATTTACCTTTCAGGATCTTCCTCGTCATCATAGTCTTCATCGTTAACGGAGTCTTCGCTTTCTAAATCGTCTTCGTCTTCTTCGTCTTCTTCGCCTTCTTCTTCTTCTTCATCTGCATCTTCGTCTTCGTCATCATCGCCAAGGGCGTTGTCTTCACGCAGATCATCTTCAGATCTCTCATCACTTACATCGACAGCCTCGTCCTTGGCCTGCGCCTCATCAGTTGTTGCAGCCTGAGTAACAGTCCCAACTAAGAAGGCCAACAGGGCAATCAGAACAAGAGTCTTCATGGCCGTTTCTCTGTGCTCAGAACTGATCTAAGCGGTGAGAATAGCTGTGCAACTCTGAAAACTTTTTACTAATCCGGCCCTTTATAAAAAGGAGAGCTCTTGAGTAAATTCTTTGAAACACCTCCTGTGTATTCATTTAGTACTCAAAGTGAAGTGGGCATCAAGTACGTTAATAACTGGAATGCAATATACTAACGGAGTATTGCTGGCTTGAACACGCCTGCCCCAGCACTCGGTAGTTGATGGTCACGAAACCGACAAAAGGCTTTCATTGCATCAGAATGGTTTCAAAAAACAGTTGGTCGAAACTTATCCTAGTTATGTCAATGGGTTAATGGGTATCGAATAAAGCTTTTACTAGCATTATAACTCGTACAAACTTTCTTTAACTTCCGTGAGTAAAAAAGAATGTTGAGCTAAAAATAAAATGTTTAAAGTTCCGGTTACATAATCAAAGTAATTGCTTCCGTTAATAGATCCATGGGCCTTAGGGTTCTATACCGTATGACTTCGTTCGCCTGGGTAACAGTATTTATTTATCTATAAGTTATTTGTTTAGTGCAATTGACCGACACGTAGGCGCAAAAACCGTTTATATCCTGGGGACGAAATCATCAGCAATCATCAGTGATGATTTCGTCTCCAGGATATAAACCTTTCATCGTATGCATGTATGCTAAGTCACTGCAAAGATTTCAATAGTGATAAGAAAGTGTGAAAACACATGAATTAATTATGGACAACTTCTTAGCTAAGAGATCGGTATTACTATATATCGGTTTTTTCAGTCTGGAAATAAATTGCTGCAAATTGTGAGGCCATGATAGATTCTTCAAATTTCCTGTCTGAAATTGGGCCTCTCTTTTCGTTTCGCCATGTCCGCAGGAATGTTATTTACAAAGCGAAACGAAAATAGAGCCTGATCTCAGGTTAATATCTCAGGAGCGTAGCGTCCATATACGAACATACGCGCGTGTGTACATGTACAGCTAAAATATAGAAAAAAAATTTATATTTCCCAAAAAAGCATCTTTTATCATTAAATCGGGATGACGGGTACATTTTTTGCACTATTCGTGTGTTTTGTTAGTATTTTGTTTATCCTTTTACTATCCATAATTCTGACGGCGTCACTGGCCTCTTTATTCCCATAAACACTGAATCTTACCAACAACAACACCAGAGATGGGTAAAATAAACAACTAGCTACTGTATTTTCCTGCGTATTAATTTACTGAAAATGTTCTGCAAAAAAACCTGGAAATGGTATTTCATAGATTAAAAATTTAAAAATTTTCTGGGGGAGTATGTCCCCAGACCCTCCTAGGTTGTGCCGCCTTCGTCGCTACAACTTTTCTTTCCGCGTACGTTCACCTTCAGGCTACCTACACTAGTATTAAACGTGTATAAGGATAGTCAGATGGTGATGTATAACTTGTGGCACACCTGAACTTAGTTAGTCAACCGGTGCTACCAAGGCGGCTGACTGAGACAAACTAGAGTATAACTAGAGCAAACGCCTTTTACCTTAAACTAACTTGACTTTTCGCGAATTGCGGAATTGATCACATTTTAAAGGAAAGGCGTAAATGGCACGAACAAAGCACTAAACTAAACGTTTATTACAAGATATATTGTAATGAGAGCTTTTAAGTGGAACCTATTATGATAGAAATTATGATAACTCGAGAGAACAGACTGGAACCAATCTTAATTCTCCAGTCAGTAAATGACGTGACTAATTATAAAAGAAATCAAAATGAGAAACACTTTTTTTCAGTTTTTATAAAGTATACGCAATTAATCCAACCCAGATTGAATCAAGGGATCAAAAAATCCACGGAATCAAGTTTTGCAAAAATTTTGGGATCAGGGATCAAAATTAAAGTCCTCAATGTGGGATCAGTTGGCAAAAAATATACCTTGTTACGACCCTAAATTACCGAAATACCGTGTCAAAAATCGATGAAATACCGATATCGCATTTATGATCGGTCGCGTTTACTTAAAGCTGTATCCATCTGCCGTGTTTGTTTATCTCAAGCATGTATGCACCAGAAATCAACCTCAGACATTGCAAGAAAACGTGAGAAGACCTTGATCGGTACAGCGATCGAAAAGCCCGTTCATTGGATGCCCTTCGTAATAGATTGAGTCTAAAATCTTAAAAATATTAAGTTTTATTAACCTCAGTGGTTGGTGCTGCATATTGTACTGACCTTTATTAGACAGGAGATCGCAAATAAATGGTACCACAATACCGTGAATGATTTTCTTTTACCGAATACTGTCAACCAAAAGGATGAAAACAGTATACCGCAGGGCTAGATGATAGCGCAATATTAACTCCAGCAACGAAAGCAGAAGGGGCTAAATTGCACGTTTGTTATTGTAGCCCGCCATCTTTGATTCCTTCTTTACTTTCATTGTTAATCACGCGAACTAGAATTTCTGCATGTAAACCCGACGAAACGGTTGTTCCGCCTTCTAGGGTCTTCCTTGTTGCTAGGATATTCTTGCCTCCATGTAAACAGCCGCTACAACATAGTACGGTTGACGTTCGTCCTCAAAAAAAAGTCTTGCGTAAGCTCCCTAAAATGATTACTGCAAAAAGCAACAATAAAACTTGATATGATAATCTGAACGAGGAGCAATATTCTTATAAGTTTATCCAACGAGAAAAAACATTATGAAAGTTATTGGGACTATTTGCAATTGCACTGAGTAATGAACATGATTGTGGATCTTGTGATGGTCGAGAAGATTAACGGACACGAATGTCACTGCTACTCCAACAGCTCCAATGCACGAGGCGGTGTGCCCCGGTGCTACCTACTTAACCAAAATCGCGGCCACCAAATTAAACGCAACAAAACTGAATCAATTTTAAATTGTGATTGCATGACTAGCCAGCCGGGTTGTAAAATTCTAACAATTTTTATCATCGCATAATATTGTATTGAAAATTGATAAATTTAAACTGCTAATTTTATTTATTTAATTTTTCAACCTTACTTTGTTAACCGATCACTGTAATGTTCAACCTTATCGCTGACCAAGAAATTCAAAAAGGACTGATCGCCTGAATATTCACTAAAATATTGAGATCGCTATTTCATTTCCGTTTTTTAGATGGAATACGATCATCAGTATGTGTTGTTTTATTACAATTAAGATATTGTAGCTGTTTATGACTTTTTTTCTGAAAAAACAAATTGTGCGTGCAAATAGTTTTTAATCGAAATGAATTGTCAATAGGTTTCAATATTTAATTTTGTTGTCCATAAAAAGTTATTTCTTTTCAATTTTCAGAATATTATTATCATTATTGTTATTATTATTATTATTAAATGACTTAATACTTCGACAAACCGAGCGAGTTTGGCTCATGCGATCAACACCGAGATCTAGAAGGGAAATTTTTTACATAACTTCAGGAAAGAATATAACGTGGAAATCGCTGATGTTTTTTCGCGTGGTTTTGTTTTGAATCTCCGTGTGAGTTGACTAATGTTATTTATTTTTCCTGTTGATTATCGGTGTCATAGAACACGCCTGAAAGTTCAGCAGGATTCACAGAGGGAAAATACGAAAGTTAAAAAAGGAATAACTTTTGAAAAAGTTTAGTTTAGTACCTGCGAGCAAGCTATCTGGGTAAAAGCTTAGACATGTTAACTTTAAAATTCTACTTTATTTTTTCCGTATGATGTCAATTTACTTTCAGCTGTTTTATTTAACAAAACATTGCAACACAGGATATGATCTTT